TCTTCTTTAACAACGGCTCCTCTTCATCCAGAACGACATCGTTCCAGCTTCACTTCTTCAATCCGCAACTCTTCAGGATTCCAACTTCATCTGCAGCCTCTTCTGCAACTTCCTCTGCAACTTCGATTCTGTCAGCCCATGATATGTTTTAGCAGCAAGTTGAGGCTTTTGTCTAAGACTGCATGAACTCATCACTCATCTAATCGTGGGATGATTCAGGCTTCGCAACTGAGTTTGTATATCTAATTCGAACAGCAAAACAACGAATCTCGATCAGGATTCGTTGTAACAAGCATATTGGTATTGGATCAATATTGGATTATTTCCAGTCTTTCTTTTCTTGGAAGTGATTCACTTAGGAAGCAGTTCTATATTATACCTTTGGGTCTTGTAAGCTTTTCTGTATGGTTCCTGAGAAACTGCAGTGCTCTGGGGATTTGCCCATTTTGTCCAGGTTTCTGTCTCAGACTGGTCTGGTCTCAATCGAACACCAAATGCAAGAAATGGACCTTGTGCCAAAGGATCGAAAAGACGAGTGAATAACGCGAAAGATGAAAGTTCTATGGCGTCCTTACCGTTCTTGGTCAGAGGGAAAGCTTGTACTCGGGACTCCATTTTGATTGAATTGGAAGACACGGTTACAAATGATCAATTACAACTATATTGACGCGGAAAGAACTGAGACGAAAAGATGAAGCGAACCGGCATTGGCTCCCCAAGCATCATGCAGTCAAGTCACTCTTCCCTTCCCTTGTTCTCCTTATTGTCGTGCTTTCTTTTCTTGGCCTTGAGGAAGCTGAAACATGAACAGCAGGGGAAATTGAACAGGAGCTTCATCTCTTTTGCCACGTTCTGGTGGCTGGCTGGCCTTGAACGTTTGAGGGGAGAAGCCCCATTTTGCAGTGTGTGTTTTAACTTTTAACAGAGCTGGTTGTTTATTGTGTGTACATTTAGTCTTTCTTGACCAGGCTTTCTGGGATGCTATATTGAGATTCCTCTCATTTGTACAGATAGACAGATGGGTCGATGCCCAACTTGTGCAATTCTTTGCTTCTGATGGAGAACAGTTGATCACAAGGTTGAATTAATCAAGTTTTTTTTTGTGGTAGCTTCCTCTTGGCAAATTCGTTCTAGGCCCGTTTAGGCAAAGCAAAGGTTAAGGGTTTTGTATTAATTGGGGATATCAAGAATGGAAACAAAGAAAGGTTTAGTTTGAGAATCGAAACCGAGTCAAATTAAATTCAGTTTCGTGGAGATAAAATCATTGCACACTTTTGTTGGCAAATGCAATATCGCACATTTTAGATTCATCATAATCATACACTTTGTCATACATTGGCGAGCGATAAAAGGATAACGACGTCATTAATATGCGGATATAATAAAAATTTGGCAATTAATAAGGCGAGTTTTAAAATAATTAAAGAGATAGCAAAATATATTACCACGTATTTTTAGAAGGAACACATTATATATATAAAAAAAAGAGGTGCTATAAATGTTTGATTGTCAAGTAGAAGCATTTTTTTCTATCTGTCGCTTTATATATTGTGTTTCGACTCGTAAGAGTAAGAAATCTATTTGAGTGTTTTTTCTTAGAGGTTGGCTAGAGCCTAGACCCTAGAGATATGGTTCAAGCCGCCAAACTACATCTACACCATTGCTAAAGCCTAAAACAAAGATTCTTTTTATATATATTACTTCATGTTGGTTAATTTCATTGCTCATTTTGCCACTCTTTGTTAAAAATCGAGGCACTAAATCTAAGTTTGTGTCAATCACTTCTCCATTTGATAGAGCACTCAAACCCTATACACCCTCCAAGTTCTAATAGCACGAGGGATACAATAGTTTTGAAAAATTCGTACTTTGGATGGAAACTACAAACCCTTGTGATCTATAATTCAAGTTATATGAATGAAAAATGACTCGTGATTTTTCAAATTACATTTTGTATCCAATTTCAATGAATCTACCAAAATGGTGGATTGGTTTCAACCAAAACGGGAAGTGCAAATTATCGTCACGGAAATAAAATTAAAGCACCGTCTGAAATCAACAAAGAGTTTGCTTATATACTGAGAATGTTGATTGAAATCTAAAATCTAAAATTTTGATTCGTGATACATTCGTACAATTTTATGCGTAGGTCTTATAAATCGCTTATAAAAGATTGAATAATTTTTGAAAAAATAATTAATATCGGATTATACACTTTTTTTTTTTTGCGGAGACATTAATATAACAATTTCATTAACTCTCCTACACATCTAATGAAAATAGGCAACTAGAAGGCTGGTCGTAAAGTAATTAGAAATAGAAAAATAAGAATCCTCGTTTTCGGAAGAAACGTAAATTTTGATTGTCTGAAAAAGAAAAAGAGACGTCATAAATATTCGATTATCAATAAAAGGAATGATTTTTTTTCTTTCATCCCCCCCCCCTCCTTCCTTCTCCCGCTCACTCGCTCATCTTTATTTATTTTGCAGCGAACTTCGAGAACAAAAAGTATATTTCAAGAATCAAGATACTTCTCGAGGGCTCTGCTTTTACCCGAAGTTAACGTTCTTTGCCGCGACAGATAGATATCGAATTCAAGTAAGATATCTACTCCTAGATCTCACTTCTCGTCTCGTAATACTCTTTACTTTCGACACTCTAAATTCCATTTCCAACTCAATCACCTCCTAAAGCCTATAGAAGTTCGTTTTTCTAATCTCACTTTTTCTGTTGATATCTTTGTTCATTTGCGCCGTTTCTTCTTGATAGATTGTATGATTCTTGCAAAACATTGATGCCTTTTATGACATTTCTATGGATAAAGGGAGGCGTAAAGATCAATGTTTTGCTCACTCTTGCTAGAGATGAGAGAGCGTTGGCTGTTTCCAGTTCCAGGTGGAGGCAAAATCTAACCACCCGTAACTGGCCACAAGATTGGGCTTTTCTTAGATCCACCATCGAAAGTTCAGCCCATGATACTGCTATTTTTTGGTGGGGCCTTGTTTGTAGATGAGTTGGACCGGTTCTCCCCAAAACCTTTATCCATTCTATACTCTGTTGTCTATAGAGCTAAATCTAACATAAATAAAAAGCTTTAACCAAAGTTTTCTTTTTACATAATTTTATGTTTGTTGGTAGATATATTGAGGTGGTCAGTAGCGGAGTTAGGATTGAAAACTACCTATGTCCTTTTTCCAAAATAAAAAACGAATAAATAGTTTTTTTTATATAAGATTGATAAATAATTGAGTTATTATTATATATTAAATATAATTAAAAATAATAATATTCAAATAATTCAGTCATTAATATATAAGAATAACCGACTAATACAATTATTCTTTTCATAAACAACCTCGATGCTTTTTTTTTAAATTTTGAAAGAAGCGCAACCTATATTCATTGTATAAGGATGCATTCCAATTGAGAATTTCATTTACAGTGTAATAATTTAATTTTGTGTCAATCTATGAAATATAAGTGAGTTATAGTGTATACCAATAAATGATATTTCGTATATACTGATGCCGAACACAATATTAGAAATTGGAATATCAAATTTATTTTAGATTTGAGATTGAGTTTATGATGTTATTTGATATTTGGTACTGAGATACCAATATCGTACCGATTTGAACATCTAGACATAAACATACATAAGGGTATATAATTTTCCCCCCAAAATTTATCTAAGTCCCAAGGCTCACTACAGTGGCCCTGCCTATGAAGGTGGTGACCAAGGTTGTCAATCCGCGGGTTGACCCGGGATGGCCCGGACTCGCTCATGAAAATAGGCTAGAACAATCTATTTGTGAGTTAGCCCGGAAATGGTCAAACCCAGAAAAATTTGGTCAAACCTGAAAAACCCGGGCGGTTGGCCATCCGAACTGGTCAGCGGGCTCTCATTTCGAAGTGTTGTTGAATTTTTACTATGTTGAATTTAAGTTGATGTAATTTACGTGTGTTGGAGTTTAAGTAGTGTTGTATTTTTTATATGTTGGATTCAAGTTAACTATAATATAATTACTCTTTTCATATTTCCGGGCTAAACCGGTCTAAATCGGGTTAAAACGGACGACCCATCAACCATTAACCCACTAGCTCGATCGGGTCCAGATCGACCCGCGAGTCGACAACCTTGGTGGTGACTCATTTGGTTGTTCGTAAACCTCTATTTTTGTCGGCTAGCATAAGAGGTTCAACTTTGTGTAATTGTGTCTTGTAGGTTCTCTTGCTGAAGTTCAGCCTTAATTTCAACTCTTTGTATTGTTCTGACTTCATTTCTATTTTCAATAAAAACATTCAGCTAACTTTCCCCCTACAAAAAAGATAGTAATAAACATTCATCATTCGAACTCGTACCTGTACTAATTTTTTTTATATTAAATTTGTCCTAATACCAGACCAAATATGAGCAATTAAGATACCCTACCCAACATATTAGTGATCCTCTGAGTACTTACAAATTACAATATGAATTTATCATAGATAGAAAAACCGTTACGGAGGTGGTAATATCAGTAAAAGTAAAAATAGTGAAATTGTAATTTAATCGTGGTTCAACCATTGGTTATCGTTTTAGACTCGTCTCGGTCTGCCGGTAATTTTACAAACACCAGAATTTACCGCCATATTTTGACTCATTTTCTTGAAAGTTCGCCCACAATTTCCGTACTGCCACCTGTCTAAGGAAAAACAAAAAAAAATCCTTTCGCCGGCAAGGGTGGTTTACAGAAAACACAGACACTTACTTCCTTACATGGCAGGCCAAGCACGCTTCCCCAGGCGGCTCCCCGGCCACTCTCCTCCGCCAGCGTGGCACCGTCCGTTTCCATTATTCCAAAATCACTTACTACTGCACCTATATATATGGAATCCGTTCTTGTTTCTTTGCTCTCGCTTTCTCCAAATCCGCCATTTTCGTCAGTTCCCTCTGTTTTTCTCTGCATGCGCGTCACAGCTTATTTCAGATTTTCTTTCACGCTTTCGTTCTCACCTCATCAAGCATTCTTCCCGTTTTCTGAATTCCGATCTTGGACTGTGATTGCAGGGAGACAAGAAGGATTTCTGACGATTCGGAGGAGGTTACGAGAAGCGCGAGACGAACGATGGCGGAGAATCGGCGGGATGCACAGAAGATGTTAGTTAAATTGCCTCACTGAACTTTTCCAGTTTGCTTAGCTCATTCTCTCCCCAAACTTAGCTTTTCTGTCAATTCAATGGTTGGCGATGATAATCGTGGTGTTTTCTTCGTCTTGTTTGACGGATTTGGTGGCGCAGGTTCGATAAGTACTTGCTGGATTACATGGTGAAGCGGAACATGCACGAGACCGCCGCGCACTTCAGAGTCGAGAGCAACGTTCCTCAGGCGGAAGTCCGTAAGTATTAGCTTTCATCACATGATTTGAGAGTAACCTCTCTTCTTTGCTGCTTGCCGATTCATCTTAGTAAAGAGCTCAATCTTGCATCTACTCGATTCAATTCTGATATAGGTTAATTGATCCTAATAGTTTGAGTTCTTCAATGGTCCGAATATGCTCAATGATCTTATGCCATTATCTTTCTTGCTGATTGCATTGTCTAATTAGTCTTGGGTTCATTTGCTGATTTAATTCTTGGGGGTGATCTTGATGATTTGAGTTGCTGATCTTGATTTTGTGTTGCATGATTAGTAGGAGCTAGCTAGCAAGTACGAACATTCACTAATCGATTTAAAGATTAATGATAGTTTAGTTCCACGTGAGTCCCACCGTTATTTGATACTTAATGACCCCTTAATTAGCTACATGGTCTCGGTCAACGAATCGCTCGTACCTTCCACTAATCTTTTCAACCGTGAATGTCTAATGGTCTAACGAAACAAAAGATGTCACGTTAATGGACTGCCCATATTTTCTTCTATATGCATAATCGATATTTCTCTCTGTTGGGTTGCCGGACTTTGGATTATAAAATATAGCGGTGGAAAATTACTTTTTGGTCATCATTATTATCTAACATAAAGTTTCTCTCCCCCGTTTTTCTTTGTTTTGAAGATACTGATACGGAAGAAGGGTTTTTGCACGAATGGTGGACAATATTGCATGACATGATGACCTCTAGGGAGGGTATGAGTAGAGAGGTCCCGCCACCGCCACCGCCAATGTTCAATGTACCGGTGATCATTCTGAAATACCCTTTTATATTTAATTATGATACATAGACTAATGACCAAATGATGCATAAGTTGGTGTTAAGAGAGCTCTGTTCTTTTGTTCAGACTCATCAGCTAATGACACAGGATGAACTGCGGAGGATGCAGATAACTCAGGCAGTATTCGCTACGAATCAACAACAGAGGCTGCTACCGACGACGATGCAGTTGCGTGGTGTTGTTGGTGGAACCAGCTTAGTGAGTGGTATGCCTGCTACAGCAGGGCAGATGCCAATCAGGCCGACTAGTCACCCTCAGGAGTATGGAAGGATGTTTAATGAACGACAACAGCTTCATAATCTCAATCGGCCTCCTGTTGGAAACATGCTCTCCAATCCTCAACATACTGTTGATATCCAGCCTCAACTGAATCTGCCCACATCACAGGCTGCTGCTGCTGCGCACAGTTCAGCTTCTCCAAGGTATATTTACTTCTGTGATTATTGACATGATTAAAGTTTGTTAATCGTTGAGTTCAATTATCTCCTGGCTGATTACATTATTGATGTATAATGCAGCTACCTGCAGAAGCAACAGGTTCAGAACCCAATTCTGCATCGAGAAATGGCGGTATGTAACATCATCCATTAATGAGTCAGGTCTTTAGTATTAATGAGCTACTATCACTGTTAGCTAATTTGAGTCATTTGCCAATTGTTCAGAAAGATGAGCAAGGGATCAGAATTGGTAACAGTAGTAACATGGTGGACAATGGCACCAACGGAGGAGCAGCTTTAGGCAGAGGTGGCCCTGAATTTGTATCTGATTCTGATGCAGGTAAAAGATGAATAAGCTTCAAACCTGTTGGTGTCTCTCTAGAGTTGCAAGCAAACAACTTAATGTTAACATCTGGATAATTTTTAAGGGACGATTCCAATGCCGCCAGAAGGATGGCTGACGAACTTTCTGATGAACACCCAAGAGTTTCCTCCTGGTTTCCTTTCAGATAAGAACCAGCAAGGTCAACAGAAGCCACCGGATCAACGTTCACCGGCTGCAGAAGGAACTACTGCTGCTGGGCCTGGAACTTCTGTGCACACCAACATGAGAGATTTGAAAGACTCCAAACTGGAGAGGAATGAAATGGTAAGCCCATAGCAGAAGAAAGGTAAAATCCAATAATATTTCAGGTTGAGAATGAAGTGTTTTGTAAGTATGACAATTGTCTGATAACCAATTGGTTTGAACTAAGACGACTGAAAAAAATGGAGAGTCTGAGAACAAAGACCGAGATCCAGGTGTTGAAAAAATGCCAGTTTCTTTCCCGACATTGGTATAGATTAATATATGCAAGCTATTGTATCCACTTTATGTTCCCATCTATGATTGGAAAACATCCACATTGTGCAGGATCTTGGAGAACCAGAATCTGAATATAAGTTCATGCAACCTTTCTTGTGTGCTGATGATGATGAAAATGCTAATGAAGAAGGCATTCGATTGATTGAAGGACATGATGAAGGTAAGCATCATTGAGTTTACAAAACAAACACCAGGCCTCTTGGTTTCCAAGTCTCTGTTCATGTGTAGATAAGTCAGGTATTTGTTCTTACTTTCTTCACAGCGCACTATCCTCGAGCAACCTACCATGCAATACAACCAGTTAGAAGTCTGAAAATGGGCAGAAACAAGATGCAGTGCTGCCATTTCTCATCGAACGGCAAGTCGTTGGTCACCTCGGGATATGAGAAGAAGGTGAATATATATATTATCATTCATCTATGGAGGTTTCTTTCAAACCCCTTTCTGTTTCACACTTGCATTGTTTTGACAGGTCGGGATCTGGAAGACACACGGTTATAGTTTCTTTTTTATAAAGACACACGATTATAGTTACACATGGACTTCAGCTGGACATTCAGACCTCGTCACGGATATTCGTTTCCAACCAAGTACAACTGTCTTTGCCACATCGTCCTTTGATAAGACCGTCCAAATATGGGATGCAGAAACAGTAATACATCTCCTCCCCACCTTAAACCTGATACACTAGCTTACTTCCAAGTGTTCTTTCTAATGACTTGTTATCCACTGCAGCCAAGCAGGTCACTCTCCCAGCTCCATGGACATGGCGAGCAGGTACTTTCACTCGATTTCCACCCAAGACAGATCGATCGTCTTTGCTCAAGTGACCGCAATGGCAAGATTCGATTGTGGAATGTGAGCCAAGCTCGTCCTCTTAAAGTTTCCAAGGTCCAGCCCCCAACTCTTCTAAATACATGATCCCGTCCCTTAAAAATGCTCAACTTGGGTAACTTGTGTCTGACGCAAGCCTCAATCTGTGGCATTGCACTTGCAGGGAGCTACGGCGCAAGTCAGATTCCAGCCCCAATCAGGAAAGTTACTAGCTCTCGCGTCTGGGAATACTGTCTCCATAGTTGACTCGGAGACTTACGCTATCCAATTCACCTTGAAGGTAAAAAAAAAACTGATAAAACCTTTTGAATTATCCATTCTTTTTACTCCTCGTCAATTTTCATTACCACCTGTTTGAACTCAGAAGGACTCTTGCTTTACTGTTACCGGAATTCAGGACCATGTAAACGACGTTCGGTCCATCTGCTGGGATTCTACCGGGGAGCACATTGCTTCTGTGAGCGAAGAGAGCGCCCGAGTTTGGTCGCTAGCCGGCGGCGGGAAGTGTATGCACAAGCTGATGTCGCATGGCAGTAACTTCCACTCCTGCAGTTTTCATCCTCGCGTTTCGCAAGCCCTGTTGGTTGGTGGTTACAAGGTAAAAAAAAGAGTTAAAACACAACTCCTTTTTACCCCCCACAGAGTGGACTTTCACCAAGTGGTTTTACTTTTGGTTTTGGCCTGGATTGATGCCACAGAAACTTGTGTACTGGAGTGCTAATCAGAGGTGGTCGACTGAAGCTCACAAAGGGATCATAGCTGCAATGGCGAGTTCTCAGACAACCGGATTGATAGCGTCTGCAAGCCATGATGGGTCTGTCAAGCTCTGGAAGTGAGGACTAATTTTTGACAATGGATTTTTCTCCTGAACATGGGAGTTCTATACAATTCATACAGCAGCTGACAATTAGAGCTACAGAAACATTTTTTGACCAATCTATAGAGTTGAGCAGCAACAGGCAGTTACTGTTTTTTTTTTTTTTTTTTTGTTCTGCACATTCCTGGATTCTTGTTGAACATTTTTCTGCTGGTGTTCCCTAAACTGGGGTTACATCCGAACAATCTCTGCTGTTAACAGTTTGCAGATAGTTGGAATTATTGCCTCCATGCCATCGTTGTGGACTCGTCGTCATCGCCTGTGATCCTGCAGGCACTATGAACAGATCCGCGACATGGTACACAGGAGTACCATACCATCAATTTTTATTTTACTCAGGATCAAGAGAAGGGAATGAATTTGGTGCTTTTTATAGTACACTTTGTTCAGCTGCCAGGGTACAGACCAATTCTCCCTCTGCACAAAATCAGAGATGATACAAAATGGAGATTACAGTCTCTTCTTCATTTCCACAGTTCCTCCATTGGAATGCCACGCTCACGAGCAACGTCCCTGAACTGTCTCATTTTCTGCACTGCAACGACTGTTGCTCTAGCATTGTTGAGGGCATTGTTACTTCCGAGCTGCTTTCCCAATGCATTCTCCACACCGGCCATTTCGAGCACGATTCTCACTGCACCTCCGGCAATCACTCCTGTACCGGGGGAGGCCGGCCTTAGCATCACATTTGCTGCTCCGTATTTCCCATCGGATCTGAATATTAAACATTAATGGCGAGTTTTGAGACTGTCTATAGAGAAGTACTGTTTTTCATCACAATTGCAGAGCATAGCCACTGACATATGATATGATAGACAATCAACATCCTGTAGCAGTAACAGCTTAATCCCTTAAGACATATAGTTTTTAACTCGTGATCTGTGATTATAAGATCATAAGAACTCATCATCGGGTCACCTCTCCAGACAAACATTCCCATTCATGAACATTGGTAATCTTCTATACACGGGATTAATGTCACAAGGTAGAATCAAACTGCACCAAAGCAGATAACTTTGGTTTTTGTTAGATACCAGTTTGGTCACTCAAACCGCCTTGTTGTATCACATTGGACACTGAAACTGGACATCGAGACATGTACAGAAGCACTAAACTCATCGCGATAAATCACAGTCAGCATTTGCATTTCCTCCATCAGCATTTACCATTATGTTAGCTGATATGGCAGCCACTGTAACTGGAAAGACCAATCGCGACTTATCGGGACGAGTTCGATGCTTTAGTTGTCACACTACTAAGTTCAATGTTCAATCTGTCATACTATAGCTATTTCTAAACCAAATGGGTGTTCTTTATGAGTTCTGAATCCCTTATAGGGCCAATTCAAGCTCCTACCAAGAGCCATAAAGCACCACATACTACTTCAGCTTAGAGACACTAACTTCAGAGAAAAACCTGACGAAATGAAACCTAAAAAAAACAGTTACCTGTGAGGGAAAGTGGAGTATTTGGTCAAAGGCACAGTGATGATGTTCCTCCTGGCATTAATGGCGGATTTCTGCACAGCGCCGATCACTTCCTTAGCCTTCCCAACCCCAACCCCGACCTGCCCTTGCTTATCCCCAACCACCACAATCGCCCTGAAGTGCAATTGCTTCCCTCCTTTCACCACTTTCGTCACCCTCCGCACCTGAATCACTCGCTCCTCGAACCCGTCTCTGATCTTATCCTTCTTCACCTTCCCAAACGCCGTCATCTTCCTCGCCTTCGAATCCATCACGTAGATGTCCTTGCCCAGATAGCTCTCCCCGCTGTACGCCGGCCCGTAGAGCTCCTCGTAGGCGGCGGCGATTTCATCCTCGGTCTCCGGCGGGCCCTCGTCGAAGTACGGCGGGGCGATGAACCCTTCCGGCGGGGTAGGAGGATCGAAGACAATTTCCTCCTCGGATGCGAATTCGTCGTCGAAGAATGAAGTGTCGATTTCGCCCGGATTGGAGCGAGGAGCGGTAATCGTCGTCGTCGTGCCGTTGGAGGAGAGGGACAGGCGGGAGAGGGAGGAGAGAAAGAGCTTACTGTTGGCGGGTTTGTTGAGGAGGAAGAAACGGGGAGTTGGGTTGTGGAGAGAAATGGAAGAGACGGCGGAGGAGGAGGAGGAGGAGGAGGATAGTGTCAGCGTCGTTGCCGCCATTGTTGCGGATCGCGCGAGCTTGGGTTGGGAGGAGGGAAGGAAGAAGAAATGGTTATCGGGAAATTTGGGTTTTGGATAAAAGGGGATTGCGAACGAACGGGAAAGGAACCAGTAAACCAGATAATCGGGTTTTGGGCTTGGAGCGATTAATGGGCCGTGACATGGGCTCATGGGTCCCGGATGCTTCTTCTTCATTCTATTTCTTGTGTTTAAGTAGTTCGATAAGTACGGCTAATGATACATCTATTTCATCTCTATGTTAATGTCAATGAATGAGAAATCATAATCAGATTTTCTCATTGGAGAAACTGGGGTTGTCTTTTTTACATAGTAAAGTAATCATTATACTTCGACTTGTCGACTCATTCATGTTCTTGGAGAGTTTCTCCATCATAATCATTACACTTCAGCCACAACATTGGTGATGCTCACAGTGAGGCTAAATTTCAGGTTGTTGACCATTGAACAAGTCATTGATTACTAATCCGGCATGTGCTACTCAAGCAGAGCACCAACTGACAAAGACGGAATCGAATACCCAATCTCTCGTGCATCGATACATCTCGCCACCAACTGAGTCGATCCTCTTTCGTCTTCCATACAGTTTAATTGTAGTACCAAACAAAATAGTTAATTACGACACTAAAGAGTAAGAAATCAATCATGCGAACAAGACTTAGTCTAATGATATACTTCCACAAGTCTTGAATCTAGAGGTTCATATTTAAATTCGTTAAGTTTCACTTTATAATGAAGGAAGAAGAAATGGTTATCGGGAAATTTGGGTTTTGGACAAAAGGGGATTGCTAACAAACGGGCAAGGAGCCTGGTAATAGGGTTTTGGGCTTGGAACCATTGATGGGTCATGATATTGGCCTTATGGGTTTGTAGATCCAAAGCGAAATGAGCCGAAAGCCTAGTATCGTCGTGGTTTGGGAATTGGGACGTTTTTTTACTTTCTTTTTAATGCTTTTTGACAATTTTTCTTCATACTTTTGTCACTAGACGTCTAGACCTCTTGTACTTTGAAGAAAGTAACTGTCTCATCTAATCCGTTATTTATCAATACTTCATGGCAATCAAATCAATTCATTCATATTTTCAAATGATTGGGTACATTCTCAATAATTTATTAAAGAGTCAATAATAATCTTTGTACTACTTGATAATCGTGACATTGATAGGCAAAGGCTAGCATACACCCACATTCGCACCTATTATTTGTACTTTGATATATTTCGATGAATCAAAATTAATTGTCAGTTATTATTTTAAGATTTAACGAATCTCGTGGTTTGTGTTGGAAAATTAGGGGTTGAGATTCACCCATTAGGTTAGGGTATAGTATCATGCCACAAACTCCAGTTAATTTATGATCTAAATAGCAAAGCTCAACGAGCATACGAAAAGTTAGCGTACCAACATTGATAATAATTAATTCATATGTATTTCTGTTGATCGCGTTATCCTAAGATACTAATGTCTATATTTCATATTACAAAAGAATGCATACCTATTGTTAGCACAAATTGCTTAAAAGTTATTCATAAAGCCAGTAGTAATTGCAATAGGAAAATTGGGCAGCTATCATGATATCCATATTCGCTTTGTGACTGATCGGTTTCAGGTTGGATTATTTATTGTGGTGCTTAATTTAAGTATAATTATATGTGATTTAGACAAAACTAAACGCAAAATAGGGCATATCAAAACAAACTGAATCGAAAAAAATTAGTCATACCCGTCCGTCATATTTAGGGATCGTTTGAAAGTTGCGATTGTTCTGATGAGATTGTTACTAACTTACTATACATGTAATGTTTAGAATGTATGATTTTTTATTTATTTTTTTACCGATAATAATACATGAATTGTTTATGTGATGTGACAGAAACTATATATCACTCAAAATGAGTGATTGTTATATCTCAGCTTGTAGTTGTAATTGTTGAGTTGAGATTGTTTTGTCTCAACTTTTAGCTGATGTGTCATACACAATCACATATACCAGGTATTGTATTTTACACTATATCAAATTTTAAAATACATATACTCACAGCTATTTAACAATCATAACTTCCAAACCACCGATATTACTCGCCAAAACATAAAGATAAAATGAGTCCTAACATTTTCTTTCCATTAATTAAACATCGACGGTGGCATTTTTTCAAGTTCTCCCATTCCCCATAAACCATATCGTATCCCACTCTTATCAACAACTCTAGAGGAACATACAAGTGTTGACCACGTCCCCACGCCCCACACCGCCACCGACGTAACCCTCTCACCACGTGTCACTACCATCCCCCACGTGTCAACAGTACAAGCTGCCACCGCCTGGTCCGTCTTCCTCCATATATCCTGCATGCAAAAAACAGCAAAGAGGATCCCACTCAAAGCAAAACAAAAGCCATTGCAAGAAATTAAAGCAGCAACCAAACAACAACAACGTACCAGAAAAAAGGCGAAAAGAAAATTCTCTCAACTATAGTAATGGCTGGCTTATCATCGATGACGAGAAGCGCGGCGTTCTGCCTCTCTCGGGCTTTCCCGAGAAACCAACCGTCTGCAAACTCCGGCCTCTTCCTCCGCCGCCGCGTCTCCTTCTCCTCCGCCGCCTCCAAATCCAATACTTACAACGAGGTATAATTGATATTCACTTACGCTGATCTGCCTAATCATCGTATTTTGTTCTTTCTTCTTTCAGTTGAGCAACTTTCGTTATTAGTTATAACCGTCCGTCATTATTTTCTCCCTCTAGGGCTGGAACGCGGCGGACCATGACAAGAACCGGGACAAGGCTGAGAAGGCCAAGGACCGGGCCGACGACCTGACCGGGAAGGCCAAGGACCGGGCCGAGGAAATGAAGGGCAGCGCCAAGGACTACGCCCGCGACACCAAGGAGACCGCGAAGGAGGCGTCTCGCGCAGCGGCCGAGAAGGCGAAGGAAGGCGCGTACAAGGCGGGCGAGGCGGCGGAAGGCACGAAGGAGCGGGCGAAGGAGTACGCTTACGAGGCGAAGGAGAAGGCGAAGGAAGGCGCCAACAAGGCCGCGGAGGCGGCTGAGGGAACGAAGGAGCGGGCGAAGGACTACGCCTACGAGGCCAAGGAGCGGGCGAAGGAAGGCGGGGAGAGGGCGAAGGAGACGGCGTACGAGGCGAAGGAGCGTGCGAAGGGGACAGCGGAGAGCGTCGGGGAGAAGGCGAAGGAGACGGTGAAGGGGGTGTGGGAGGCGGCGAAGGACACGACGAACAAGATCAAGGAGACGGTGGTCGGGAAGGGGGATGATGAGGATGGTGATTTGAAGAGGAGTAGTGAGGATGATAAGAGAGGGTGGAAGACTATGGACGGTGACGTGGTGGACATGAGGAGGCGGGCCGGCGGCGAGGCCAAGAACAATAGGGATTTCTGATGGGCTTGGCCGTTTGAATGTTGTGGTTTTGGGTTTCAAGGGTTTGGATGGGCTTTTTGGGAGGGGGATTTGAATAACATGGTGAGTGGTTGGGTAAATGTTAGTGGCGGTTTGCCGGGCCACACCCTTCAATAATGTGTAATGGTTTGGGCAAACGGAAGATGGAGAAGTCTTGTTATTTTGCTTATTTCATGAGATCTTCAATCAAGTGTTTGTATCTTGTTTTACTGCGTAGTGCAAGCTTGTTACATAATCGTTGATTGTTTGACATTTTATTTTGTGTGTTTGTAGCGTGACATAATAGTTGATCGTGTGTTTCACATCTTAAATTCGTTGCGAAAACATCTGGGATATATTTTGCATGCATTCTCTTATGACGTAGTCCTAGTGCAATTGTAACAACCATGAAAACTCGATATCCAACCATGGTTTTGCATGCATTCTCTTATGACGTAGTCCTAGTGCAATTGTAACAACCATGAAAACTCGATATCCAACCATGGGTCGACGTACACGTATAGGATAAACCTTTGCTAGAGTGAACAGTTATTAGCTTTGGTTTAATCTATAGATTGGCATATTTTGTACACAGTTCAGCAAGAGAAGCGACAAATTGGTTGATGTTCCAGGTCGAGGTAGAGGTACAACAAATATAATGTCGTAGCGAGAGCCTGAGGAGCAAGTTGTGTGGCTAGGCCCAGCCTATAGCCGGCCCAAATCGACCACTACATGCGGTTTGGTCTGGCGGTCCAAAAGCAAAAGACTAGGCCCACCGACCGATCAGCTCCACCGGCTTGACCCTTCAGAAGCAAAATTTAACGCGGAGAAACAGATGTAGTGGCTGGTTAGACATGGGCGATAATCGAGGTGCGGATCAGGTTAGATAATATTTGTACGTACTTCAAAACAAAGAAATATAACATCTGAAATATTTCCAAAACAACAGCGAAACGGAGAGAACCGATTCAACAATAAAGTCTAGGTATTGTAAAAGATAATAAGCATAATTAAAACGACTTAGCACTTCATCGGGGCCAACTACTTGTTCCTATAGATAAAGCATTTAAACATGTACGATCGGTGGGTCACATTTTGCAAGCTATCGGGTACAAAGAAAGGGCCTTTCGAGCATGTACGATCGGTGGGTCACATTTTGCAAGCTATCGGGTACAAAGAAAGGGCCTTTCGAGCCACCAAATGGACTACCATGTTGCTACGCCGACCAACGAACCGAACACTAAACCCGTCACTCTCGGCTAGGTAGAGCAACACCTCACGGGGTCTCTAATGCCTTTTATTATTGGAAGTTTGACTATTAGACTGGCCACAAAGAGGCAGGTGGACCTTATAAAACGCACAGCATCCACTCGAGGGAAGGTAATGGAGTAGTTAATTTGCTTGGAAGTGAAGGGTTGACCAAAACGATCGTGGCGATGGCGGGGAGTACATAAAACGACAGAACCAAGAAAAAGAGAAAAAATCAAAAAACCCCATTACGATTTCGTCTCTCCATCAATTGATTCTTGGCTTGCTCGCCATGATGACGTGGAGTGGACAGGATCGGACGTGGACGTGTCAAAGTACGTGTCACCATAATAAATTAATAATCAAACATAATTATGACTCAGATTATTGTTCTCTGTACACATCGACCGCACCATGATTGCTTCTTTTATCGTTTTGTGTCGTCAAACTAGATGTCGACTTCTCCTTGGTCCTTGGGAAAGCGGGTAATTATGGTCATGATTTGGTTGGGAAGGGTTATTGTATATGTGTGAATGATTATTTCATATGTGGTGGTGTGTGTTGGGTAGTGAATTGCTTAAGTGTGTTTGTAGATTAATTCTCATATATTATCACGATTTTGGCTAGTGCTAATTATATATAGTTTGGATATGGAACCGATTGGAACCAAACGAACCATCCTAATTTCATGACGGGTACACTGATTTACCTTTTTAACCACAAATATATTAAGAAAAATAATACTATAATGTAAATCGTGACCATTTAACTCTATTTCTAATGTTACTTTTACTTCCTCTTCTTTGTTTCCTAGCATGTTTGATGGATTTGCGCGAACCGTGACCCACTGCCACCCCTAATTACTAATATCGATTTTGATAAAATTTTGTGTAAACTTTTTTGCGAGACAGTATTGATGATATGTTAGAAGTTTTAGTGTTTGATGATTTACATGTCTTTTATTTTACAAGGAATGAACGAATAGTAACGGTTAACAACTAAACCGTAAATCACAAAAAATTTATAGTTCAACATTCGGTCTGGTCATGTTCTAAAAACAGAGCTCCTACCCCATTATTGCACCGGCCATCCCACATAGGTTGGGCTTCAGCCCACAAACATGGGCCTGAATCTTCCGTCACGAATGTATTGTGGACTCTAATTGATGATGATGACGACATCGACATATCAACAAACCCTAGCTTGCTATATATCTAGGGATCATCGTTAGTTCATTAGTCAGTAGTCACCAAGAAGTTAATAATTGGATTCTGATCAAATCCAGTCTCCTAACGGATTTGAATTTTTAAGGGCCCTCCTAATTATGAACTACTTAGGCAAAGAAAGTAGCACGCCACTATAGTCCAAATATGCTATGGACCTACGTTTTGAGTGGGAGGGAGCACAGCCCACAATATTGGAGGTACAAAGTACAAACCCTTAACACGATTATTTATAAAAGTCGATCTGCATTTGAAGATATGTAGGTTCAAAACTGCATGCCACTCGTAAGTTTAGGGTATGTTGTACACTAATATAATCTAACCTGATTTTGTTGTAGCTAAATCACGTAATTCGAATTTCATTAGACGCGAAGTCATCGTTCGCAACAATCTTAGACATTGGTTAATAAAGTATGGAAATGTGGGCTCCAATAAAGAAACAACACACCTCCCTTAATTGCAATAATACCAAAATTAAGCATCAAATTAACCAAAAGTGAATTCATATAAATTGACCACAAAGATGGGAAAGAAGACCAACAAACATACAACTAAATTAACAAATCCACCCCCTCCCCCCTCCAACATTACATTGTCAAATGTTATCTCCCTCTTTAATCCCACTATACCACCCCAATTATACCCCACCCCCACCAAAATCCCTTGTTTTTTTTCCCCAATAAAAAAACCAAGATTTTGGAAAACAAAGAAAAGAAAATCCACCCTGAAATCCTCTTCTCTTGAGGACTCACATATACCCAACCCCCAAAAACCCAAAACCAGAAATCATGATGCATACATATTTACACACATCTAGCTACCCCCAATTATGTTCTTACAATGTAAATAATAAAGTAGCAAAATTAAAAACTAGTCTTTTTTTTGTTTCTGACCTTAGTACTGGACATTCTCTTCTCTTCTTCTTCTTAACCCCAACTCGCCGACGAGATTGAAAGAGGATCCGAGGCTCCCTTCTCAGCCCAATATATATATATATATAAAGGAACTTCCTCAGCTGCTGATGAATCTCTCTGATCCAATCTCCTTCTCATCGTCCCTTCTCCTCTATCCCCAAGATTAGAAAAACCTAGATGAAAGATCCCACATAACCCTCCTTGAATCGTCCGCTCGTATGAATTTGTCAGGTATTCATGAATCCTCGTAATGACGAAACGACGAATCTTTCACCGCGTTAAGAAAGAAAATAGTGACCTAAAAAAAGAAAATGAAAAAGGTTTGGGCTAGATCAAGGAAGTCACGGAAGGTCCAATATTCCCCGGATCGTGCCACAGCGCGTTCCAGTAAGCCGACTGAGGATCCGACCCGATCTGCTCCACCACCACCACCTGCCCGGAATCGTTAAAACTCCACTCCTGCTGCCCGTTCTGCCCGTACTGCTCCGGCTTCACCCCGCTGCTCATTTGCAACCCCGCCGCGGCCTGGAAGTGCTGGTCGACCGAGCTCAGCCTCTTGTTGTTCGACGACGACGACGAGGAGGAAGAGAACTTGTTGTTGAGGGTGGACGCCAGCAGCGTCGCCATCGTCGGAGAAAGAATCGCCGAATTATCATTACTATTATTAGAAGCGCCGCCGCCGCCGAAAAAGGAACCCGCCGCCGCGGTGTAGTTGAAGGCGGCGCCGCCGCTGGACGCGAAGGAATTATTACTAGCCAGTTGGTCGTCGTACGGATGAGGAGGAGGAGGAGGGTTGTTGCTCTGCTTGCCGTAGAACAGTGGAGGAGGGTTATTCATCTGGTCGATGATTCGAAACTGCTGCTGGCCGTGGCTAGGGTTTTCCGCGGTTGTTGGTGGTGGGCGAGGAAGCTGGGCGATGTTATTGCTGCTATTCGTAACGACGGAGGAGGAGGAGGAGGAGGGGCGGTGCTTGAGGTGGCGCTTGTTCTTGCGGCAGCCGCCGCCGACGGGGACGTTGCGGAGGGTGCCGCCGCGGGTCCAGTAGCGCTTGCAGCCTTTGCAGAAGTGGCGGGGCTGGGAGAGGCTGTAGTTGTTGTAGTAGCAGAACTTGGTGTTGGCCGAGTCGCACCGCGGGCAACGCAGCGCCGCGGCGGCGGCGGCGGCCTGGTTGGGGTGGTGGTCTTGGTTAGTTTCCATGGTGGAGGAGGAGGAGGAGAGATTTGTTGTCGTGAAGCTGATGCATAAAAGGGTGGAGAATGGAGATAAGAAACTCGGAGGAGGAAGAGAGGGAGGGAGAAGAAGGGGAGATTCGGTTTCCAAGGGGAAGAGAACAAAGGAAAGGAAGAGCGAGGGGGGGGGGGGGGGGGGGGGGATGTGGACGTGTTTAAGTTGTATAGTGAAGGTGTTTTTGGAGGGTAATAATTGAAGTGTGGAGAATGAAAGTGAAAGTTAGGATGAATGGAAGAAAAAAGACAAGGGAATTTGTTGAGAAAAAATGGAGTAAACTTGTGACCATTCGTTGGTAGTTGAGGGTAGGGATGGCAATGGGTCGGGCTGGGTCGGGTTTTGCCAAACTCAAATCCAAATTCATGGGTTTATCCGTGAAAAAAACCGGGGTAAAATTCACTGGGTTTGAAAAACTCAAACCCAACCCAACCCGCTGGGTATCTATCGGTTCATGGGTACCCACGGGTTTTTGTCGTAAAAAATTTACAATAACAAGTTCTATCAAAATTAAAATCAAATATCAATCACTCAATACAAATTATCCATATATAAAACACCATTCTAGAAAATTCAAGCAAATCACAAATTAACTATACAAATTGTTCAACACTGTTAGGCCAAGCATTGAGCCACGAGGCCCATAGGCCCAAAGGCATTCAAGGCCCAAGCAAGGACAAGCGAGGCCCAAATAGAAGAAACCGACCAGAGGCGGTTCAACCCATCCATCAAGGGTGAACCGCCCGACACAACAGAAAGAGTACGGGCATAGAACCGCCCGACAATACGACTTTTACGTACGGAGTCTGACAAGGGGCAACGGAAAAGCCAGAGGCGTTCTAGACCGCCCGACACAGCATTTAATGCGCATAGCCCAGTCGAAACTAGTATAAATACCTCTCATAGGGACACATTGATGGTAACTTCTACCAACTCCATTCTCTCTCTTATTTACTTACTCTCCACTTCTCTCTCTAACTTAGGCATCGGAGGAGGTCCCAGGATCCCCCCTGAGGACCTTTCTGCAGGGTTTCGAAGACCGCCCTCGACCATCGAAGCCGCCCAAGGCCGGTAGAGTCTCACCAACCGCCTGGTACATTCCAGGCACAAACATTTTGGCGCCCACCGTGGGGCCCTACTACTTTGTGGCGAACAAGATGGGAGACGATTTCGAAACCCCCCTCAAGGGGATGACCGAAAACAACACCCTCCGAGGCTTATCACCGAGGGTTGAAGATGAGCCCGAGTTGGAGGAGGTGGTCAAGAACCAAGGGGTGCAAATCGCAAGCATGCAAGACAGCCTTTCCCAAATTCTCCAACTCCTGAAGACCCGAGACGACCCCGCCGAGGGCTCGAGGGGAAAGGCGCGCGACGAAAAACTGAAGGGCGCTCTCATCCTCGACAGCCCTGCTCGGACAGAAGGCGGAGGACTAGAGGCCGACGACCCGGACCTCAACTTTCTAGAGGAGCACTTGCGGTCAACCTTCGGGAAGCACAAAAGCCCGAACGTTCTGCAAAACCCTCTATCAAGGGAGCTCTTCAAGACTCCGGTCCCCCCGAACTTCTCCTCTCTGGGACTACCAACCTATGGTGGGACGTCCGATCCCGCCGATCACCTTTGCGCGTTCATGTTGAAAATGCAGCTCATCAACGCGACAGACTCGGATCTGTGTCGTGCGTTCCCGGTTACCTTCAGCGGTCAATGCCGAACTTGGTACACTTCCCTTCCGGAAGGGATCATAGAAAACTTTGAGCAGTTTGCGATGCTCTTCTCCACCAAGTTCGCGTCTCAACGGCGTCGCAAACTCACCGTCTCGGCACTCATAGGTTGCCGGCAAAGGAAGGAAGAGTCGCTTGCTGAGTTCTACGACCGATGGAACGCGATAGCTTGCGAAATAGACGGCATCTCCCCGGTCGTGGCCGCCGGAAACCTCCGAATCTCGACAACTAGTCTCGAGCTGAAAAGAACGTTGATAAAAAAGGAGGCAACCTTGGCGGCCTGGTCTGACTTAGACCAACTGGTACGACGAGCGATCTTGTTAGAGGAAGCGCTAGCCAACGACGACCGAGGCCAGCAAAGCCGTCCCAGAGGAGACGCCTCAGAGCGCGGAGAATCCCGAAGGGGAAGACGGTCCCCGGACCGCAGGTCGTACCGGAACCGGTACCCCGATAGAGAAGGAAGAAGGGATGTCCTCTCCACCGACAGAGAAAAAGGAAGGGAACGAAGGAAAGGTGGAAGGAAGCACGAGACGTCTTCCGCCCAGGAGCCGCAAGAAGGAAAAAAGTGGTGCGACTGGCACCAAATCACGACCCACGACACCGCGGAGTGTAGAGAGTTCAAGGCCACGCTCCGACATCTGGCCCCAGGGGACCTCCGAAGCAAGCTAGAAATGAGGCGGTCCCACAGAGAACACTCAGCAGAAGAGCGGGAGGAGTCCCCAAGTCCCGAGCAGGACAAGCCGAGACGCACAAGGAAGGAAAGATCAAGGTCCCGCTCTCGGAACAAGGTCGCCTCCCCGAGGCAGTCTCCTCCCTACAGAGCTCCCCGAAACGAAGATGATGGGATGGAAGTCATAACAATTGCTGGAGGACAAGCCGAGACCGCATCGCTCAATGTTTTAACGTGCAGCGGAGAGTCCCAACCGAGGTCGCCTTCCTACCGTCTGAGTTGGTCGACGAAGAAAACTCGGAAGACCCCTTGGTCATTTCCTTTCGAACCGCCAAGTTCAAAGTCACTAGAGCCCTGGTCGACAATGGGAGCTCGGCGGACATACTATTTTACTCAGCACTCAAAGGGATGAAAAAGAGCGTCCAAGATCTCAACCCTTCCACCACCAGCTTGGTAGGGTTCTCCGGCACCAAAGTCCGTGTCCTCGGCTCGATCACGCTCAAAGTCACCATAGGGGAAGGAGGAATCACAAAGACCAGACCCGTGGAGTTTCACGTGGCGGATTGTCCTTCGGCATATAATGCCATTCTTGGACGCGGCTTCCTGGCTTCGTTCGAGGCGGTTGCATCCACATGCCACCAGATGCTTAAGTTCCCAAGCGGAGGACAAACCGGACGCGTTCGAGGCAACCTACAAGAGGCTAGAGAATGCTACCAAGCCGCCATCGAGCACCTCGAGGTCGATCTGGTCGACACTAGAGGAGACGTCCCGAGACCGGAAGCGGTTGAAGGTGACGTGGCAGTCTCGCTAGATACAGAGCGGCCAGAGAGGACAGTACGTATCTCCGCACATCTCGCCCAAGAGGAGGCCCAGAAACTACTCGCACTCCTCAGAGAGTTCCAAGACCTCTTCGCGTGGGGTCCAGAAGACATGCCCGGAGTCCCCAGAAGGGTCTCCGAACACCGCCTCTCAGTCAAAGCCAGAGCGCGTCCCATACAACAGCGGAGGAGGCATCTGTCAGTCGAAAAGCAAATGGCACTAGAAGAGGAGGTTCGACGCCTCCTCAAAGCCGGATTCATCAGAGAGGTCAAATACCCAACTTGGCTCTCAAACCCGGTCTTTGTACGCAAGGCTGGAGGCGCTTGGAGGATGTGCATCGACTTCACCAGCCTCAATGCGGCCTGCCCCAAAGACGCATATCCGCTTCCCCGCATTGACCAGCTCATAGACGGGACCGCCAATCATGAAGCCCTCAGCTTTCTGGATATGTTCTCCGGATACCACCAGATCAGAATGGCGGAGGAGGACCAAGAGCTCACCGCTTTCATGACTCCCATGGGCAACTTCTGCTACGTAGTAATGCCCTTCGGACTGAAGAACGCGGGGGCAACCTATCAGCGGATGGTGGATGCGGTCTTTAAGGAGCAAATGGGGCGTAACGTGGAGGCCTACGTCGATGACGTGCTAGTCAAAAGTAAGAAGGCGACGGATCACCTGATCGACCTAAGGGAAACTTTCGAAACACTGAGGAAAAAGAATTTAAGGCTCAACCCACTCAAATGCGTCTTCGGCGCCGAAGCGGGAAAGTTCTTAGGGTTCATGATCACAAAACGAGGGATAGAAGCCAACCCAAAGCAAATCGAGGCCATACGCGGCCTGAAGCCGCCAAAGACTATCAAGGAGATCCAAGCTTTCAATGGGAAGATGGCCGCACTCGGAAGATTCATCCCGCGGTCCGCCGACAAATGCTCTCCATTCTTCCAAATGCTGAAGAAGTCGGCGTCAAGGCTCCAATGGGGTGCCGAGTGCGACAAGGCCTTTCAGCTGTTGACAGACCAGCTCAGTCAACCGCCTGTCTTGAGCGCCCCCATCAGCGGAGAGCGACTCTACCTTTACCTGGCGGTCTCCGAGCAAGCCGTAAGTTCTGTCCTAGTGAGAAGAGCGCAAGACGGCTCCGACCAACCTGTCTACTACGTTAGCAAGGCGCTTCTTCCTGCCGAAAAAAGGTACTTGCCCGTCGAAAAGGCTGTCCTCGCGGTCGCCTCTGCGGCGAGAAAGTTGCGACCATATTTCCAAGAGCATCCGATCACGGTGCTATCTCACCTCCCGCTCAAGAGCATCATGAGAGGCATGGACGCCTCAGGTCGGTTGACTAAGTGGGCGATCGAGCTGAGCGAATACGACATCGAATATGCACCCAGGCCCGCCATCAAGGGGCAAGTCCTTGCCGACTTCATCGCCGAAGGTTTCTCCCTCGAAGCCGCTCCTTCCGAGGAGCGCAATCACATATGGCGTCTGTTCATAGACGGCGCCGCCGGAAAGACCGCTTCAGGGGCAGGGATCGTCATCGAGTCCCCCGAAGGAGTGGTGCATGAAATCTCGCTGAGATTCAAAGAGATCAAGACCAACAATGTCGCTGAGTACGAGGCACTGATCAATGGGCTTCGGATATTGTCCACCCTAGGTGCCACCGACGTGCAAATATTCTCCGACTCCCTCCTGGTCGTCAAACAGGTTCTGGAGGCGTTCGAAGTTAAGGATGAGACGCTGGCGGCATTAGCCACCAAGGTGAGAGATGCCCTGT